GAGAGAGAGAGAGAGAGAGAGAGAGAGAGAGAGAGAGAGAGAGAGAGAAAGCAATAGCAGATGGATACTCATGAGAAAATGGCTGCCATAGAGCAAATGATAAATATAACCAAATATATCATCTCAAAATTTAAAAAATTACAAACTGAAACCATCATCTCTCTAAGAGATCAAAGCAGAGATATGAGGGCCAGGAAACCTGGGCAAACCAAGGCAATAGTAGGAGTGAAACATAAGCTTGTAGAGCCCAGAAAAAAGTGGAAGAGGGAAAAAAAGCCCCCCCCCCCCCGCCGCCCCACATGGGGAAAATACTGCTGAGTGTCTGGCTCTGAGCTACTCTCTGTGCTGACCATGTTGTGTTCCCTAACCACATTAAAGGGCAGTTGGATCTCTAGCTGTACATGTTGGTGTCTATTATTAGTCATCACCATCTTTATGAGATGAGAACTACAAGGAAGCATGGAAACAAATGAATAATGCACCCAATTCAAGTCATAAACAGAAAAAAACTCTAAGAAGAACACAATAAAGTTAATCAAATTAAAAGCAAAAATTCATTTTAAAAAATCAGAGTGGAACTAATAAGTAAATGCAAGAGTCAGTTCTTTGGGGGAAAATACTAAATAAAAACAAACCATTACCAATATAATCAGAGTGAAAAAAACATAAATACACCAAATATGGAACAATATTGAGGATATAATTCTAGAAACCTAGAATATAAAAATAATTAAACAAGAGATTACTTCATTGTATGCAAATACATATGAAAACCAGGATAAAACAATTTTTCCCCCGAGAGAATACAAATGATAAAAATGACCTCTAGAGGGTTCAGCAATCCTACTTCTGAGTATATATCCAAAATAAATGAAATTTGTATCTTGAAAAAAATCTATTCACTCCCATGTCATTGTAGCATTATTCATAATAGCCAAGATATGGAAACAACCTAAGTGTTTGTCAGATGAATGGATTAAAAAAAAGAAGTAAAACTCATAGGAACACAGAGGAGAATGTGGCTGCCTGGGGCTGGGGAAGGGGAGAAATAGAGAGATAGAGAGATGTAGGTCTAAGGATAAGATGAATAAATTCTGGGGATTTAATATACAGCATGGCGACTATCGTTAATGATACTATTTTGTAATATTCTTTAAATTTGCTGAGAAAGCCGACGTTAAGTATTCTCACCACACACACACACACACACACACACACACACACACACACAAATGGTAACTATGTGAGGTAATGGATATGCCAATCAACTCGATGGTGGTAATCATTTCACTATATATATATATGTAAAATCACCACATTGCACATTTTAAATATATGCAATCTTGTCAATTTTACATCAATAAAGCTGAAAAAAGGAACTCAGAAGAGAGAAATATCTAAAGATAAGGCAGAAATGTAACTACCTGAGTTGAGAGTCAAGAATTACAGACATCACAAGACCCTCATGTCTATGAGAATGACAGAGTCCAGGCACCAACAAATCTCCTCTTGTATTGACTGACCTTTGCTAAATCCAAGGAAAGCAACCCTAAGGTTTTCTCAGAGTTAGGAGGGATCAATAAGACAAGGGGGGCAAAAGCATATGATTTTGATAAGGCAGAAGGGCATGAATATAGAGCATGGGGACTGGAAGAAGCTGACCCAGAGGCCGGCTAGAAAAAGTTTGCATCCTAGCTACACTCTAGAATCGAGTCATCCATTGTGAGACTTCTTTGAACACACTCCTTCTTTCTCTACCAGCTTTGATTACTCCATCCTTTCCCCCTTTTCATTGGCTACGTAATGCTTTGCACTGTTGGTTGGTTAATTGTCTGGCCCTTCAGCTGGGTAACCTCTTCCATGAGAACAAGGACCGCATCTCCTTTGCCCAACATTGTATGCCCCCTATACTGACCTTACGCTGTGCCAGCCATGAATGGGGCAAGCTTGACATTTTGGACAAAAGCAGGTAACAATAAGGAATGTAGCTGCAGAGATACAGGAATCAACGGAGGTGCAACATCCTATTGGAAATGGGGCAACTACTGTAGACTTACAGGTGCAGTGAGAATGTGCAGTCTTCCTAGGAAATGGTAGAGCAGCTGAGAGGCCAGAGGGACAGGCGGGAGAGACAATCTACATCTCACAACATGATAGTTAACAGGGAAAAAAGGATGGTTCCATGCCTTGCTTTAGAAAAGTTAATTGGTCCAGTGGCCGGCAAACTGCGGCTTGGCAAACCGCGGCTCGTGAGCCACATGCGGCTCTTTGGCCCCTTGAGTGTGGCTCTTCCACAAAATACCGACTTCTGCGCATGGGCCACGAAGTTTCAATCGCACTGTACATGCGCGCCCGCACGTGGTATTTTGTGGAAGGGCCACACTCAAGGGGCCAAAGAGCCGCATGTGGCCCATGAGCCGTGGTTTGCCGACCACGGGTTAACCCAATATCAGAAGTTAAGGGGGAAAAAAACCACAGACTTTGAGTTCTTGGTAAAGAGTAAGCTCAAAATGAGTGACAGATGGGATGTGACCATCAAAATTCATAAATCGAGAGAGGCTGCGCTGATAGGTTCTACAGTCTTCAGCGATAAAGGTGAAAGCCTTGAACTGCTCCGGGCTGTCAGATGATTGCCTGACTTCCTTTCTGAATGCTACACTTTAATAAGAATGAAGTTAAATTTGAACATGTTCAGAAGAGAGGCCCCCAGGATGATAAAGATACTCAGAAGTAAGCTGCGCGAGGAACAGTGAGAGAAACGGGGGCTATTTTGCTTAGAGAAGGAAAGATTGGAAAGAGGCATGATAGCTGGCTTTGAGAATCTGAAGGGTTGTCAACTGCAAGAGGCTTTGTCTAGTTCCGAATGACCCCAAGGGCAGAACTAGCACTGATCGGATTTTCGCTCAATGCAGCTGAGGACTCGGAGACAGAGCTACATTAGTGGAGAAGGGAGAGCAGTGAGGGAGCCCCTGTCTCTGGGGTGCTCCAGCCCCAGCCCAGGCAGTGGGGCTGCAGCGAGACTGGCCATGCCCCCAGGCTGCACTCGATGTCAGAGAGCTGACTTCTACATTCTCTCCCAACACTGAAATCCTGTGAGCAACGAGCCTTTTGACTTCTATGCTCATGATGGGAATCATTTTGTGAAAGTGCTTTGTAAACACTAAAGTGCTTTACAGATATAAGGTCTTGTGACTATTTTCTCATCACCTTGTAAGACTTCAATTCTGTTCCGATTGCCACTTTCTCTACTTATCTCTAATCTCTCTTCAACCTCATAAAGATTTCTAATTGATAAATGCCAAATTTAATAGTATTGTGACTACTATTCCCTGTCTAGGATTTCAAATGTTCAAAGTGCTTTGTAAATAATAAATGATTCTTCATTTTTCACTAATGAGGCGAAGGCCCTCTATTGAGTATGCTGCTCATGGTGCTTGATCCTATGGTGTAAAGTAGGGGTCCTCAAACTTTTTAAACAGGGGGCCAGTTCACTGTCCCTTAGACCGTTGGAGGGCCGGACTATAGTTAAAAAAAAAACTATGAACAAATTCCTATGCACACTGCACATATCTTATTTTGAAATAAAAAAAACAAAATGGGAACAAATACAATATTTGTATTTGCATGTGGCCCGCGGGTCGTAGTTTGAGGACCCCTGGTGTAAAGGGACGGGATAGCTGAATTATTACACACCCACATTGTGGGGTGGAACTCATTAAAGTCAGTAGCATGCTCACAACATTTGGTGTAACAAAATAGTCTCCACATTAATAAGCTGTCAACAAACAAGCACAGTAATAAATCAACCTCAGAGTCCACGCTGACACAACTTGGCTTCTGCTCTTTGTCAGAGTGACCTCTGGTGGCCCACGAACTCTCAGACAATGAGAATACCTGTGTTGGTGGCATAGCTTACTTGTTACAAAGCATTACGACTTAGAAAAATTAACTGTCAGACACATAAATTCCCAAATCTATTTTGGGGTGTTCAAAATTTTTTTCCCACCAAACTCTAATATCATCTCTAATAAGCAACGGCTTGAGAGCTCTAAAATATTTATTTTCCTTTTTCTCCAAGGGACTTAGCAGAGAGTGACACAGGCAAAGGCAAGTGGAGAGAAGAAAACCAGGGAGAGAGCAAACTGGATGTAAGCGCTCTTAAAAGGTTAACCAAATTACACAGCAACCCTCACACCCAAACGTGTGTTCTCAGAACTGTTCATCTATTTCATCCTCTGGCTGACGGACACCCAGAGCAGAAAGGGGATTCGGAGCTGAAATTTATACAAGGCAGCACAGAGAAGGTAAGCCTCAGATAAGATGAAGTACAAAGAATTTTTTGTACACTTCTCTTTTGATGCTATGTACCATTGGGAGGGAAACAGATTTTTAAAAGAAGCGTTTTAGTTCATATTCTATATTCAGTCTAACACATTCTGTGTTTACTTTCTGTTCGTGAGTTTTAACTTTTAATGTAGGTTATACTTGTTCACATACTGATGTCTGCGAAGAGAACTCTATTAAATATTTTCATATGTTATGATTACAACTCTCTAATAATGAGTATTTGGGGAAACCCCTACAAGTTGTTTTTAAAAGTCAGAGGAGGCAGGAATAAATAGATCATTGGCTAATCTCTCATGCTCCTTGTCAGCACCCCAATCCATCTTTGCCGACGAGGTAAAACCATGGGGCTATCTTCAGTGAACCATTCTGTTTCAGGGTTACCCTCATAATTAATTGATGGAGGAAGGACATGCTCCGGATGGAACACTTGAACCTCAGTGAGTCTAATGGGGGGCCTGTTAGTGTTTGATAAATGTTCATGACTTACCAGCACTAAGAAGGAGGAAATGCAGGGCCGCTATAGCCGTGTGTTCAATACGGTTACATTGACACAGACATAAGTGAAAGGTGTTCTTTTCGTGGGGCAGAAGGTGGACCCTTGAGAAACATGGGCTTCAACAATGACACTGCCTTTCCTCAGGCCCAGGACATACCTTGATTCCCGTAGCTGGCGTCGATTCCAGAGCCATCCCACGAGTCCACAGCACTGTCCACACTGGGCACGGTGGACGGGTACATGTCGGAGAGTTTGCCCGGCTTCTGTGCTGGCGAGGAGTCCTCCTCCATGTCTCCCAGGTCACCCAAGTGGCTGGGAATGGGGAATTTCTTGGGACTTGACGCTGACTGAGCTTTAAAGACAGGAAAGAAGTTTAAGTATCAGGGTAAACTGAAAAACATTTTTTATTGCCTTTTAAAATTATTTTTATTGATTTCACAGAGAGGAAGGGAGAGGGAGAGAGAGATAAAAACATCAATGATGAGAGAGAATCATCAATTGGTTGCCTCCTATACGCCCCCTACTGGGGATTAAGCCCACAATCTGGGCATGTGCTCTGACCAGGAATCCAACCAGCAACCATTTGGTGCACGGACGACACCCAATCAACTGAGCTACACCAGCCGGGGCCATATAAATTTAAATAAAAAGATAAACATTCCCTGGCTAGAGAGTCATTTTCCTAGAAATGCACACAGAGACATTTGCCCATTCTTTTTGGGAAGGAAATGCACTGGAAATTCTTAACTGTGGCTCTCAACCCACTCACCATCTGTCTGTTTCTTAATTTTCAAGGTGACAGTCTCTCCCGCCATTTGTAGCAAGTGGATGGCCTCACTCAGGGGCTTCCCTTTCAAGCTGCTGCTGTTGATGGCCAGGATCCTGTCTCCGATGTGGATCGCGCCGGTTCTGGAACACCGAGGAGCAACAGGAAAATAGAAATAATCCCTGTGTGATACTCAATATAGATTCCCGGCCATACTTTATGTATTCATAATAATAAAGACTTGGCAAGGGTCTCTAGAAACCACGTCTAGCTTTCTCCCGGGCAACGTTACAAGACAACTGCATCTGTTGTGAATTACTTTTTAGTTTCAAATAAAATTAGAAAAATTGTTTTAATTAGTAGTTAAAGTGAACTTGTATGCTTTTTAATTCCAAGAAAGCAGAGTCATTTGGTAACCCTCTTAAAAATCCCAAGGAAACGAACAAGATTGGACAATGAATGTAGCGATGTTTAGCACAGGACATTCCTTGTTCCTACAGATTTAAAAATGTTGAACATACTCATTCTCCCAGCTCACCAGAAGTGAGGTTCAGAGAGATGGGGACACACCCTGGACGCTGGTGTGGCTGGGCCCCCTGCTGGTGATTCCAAGGAAACGAAAAAGGCTGATCTCGGGAATCAATGGCTATACAGTCATGCACCGCATAACAATGGAAACACCTCCTGAAAAACGTGTCGTTAGGCGATTTCCTTGTCTTGGGAACATCATAGAGTGTACTTAACACGAACCTAGATGGTGTAGCCTACCACACACCTAGGCTGTATGGTACAGCCTATTGCTCCTAGACTACAACCTTGCACAGCATGTTACTGTACAAAACAACTCGAAATCAAATCAAGGCCAAGAGAAAATGATGCAACCAAGAGACTCAGTGAATACGAGATGTATGAGGATGCTGCCAGCATAACACAATGTATTGTTTTACAACAAACATTTTTATATAAGTAGAAAAAGTACACTCTAAAATAATAACAAAAAGCATAGTATACTAAACACATAAACCAGTAGCACAGTCAGTAATTATCAAGTATTATGTACTGTGCATAACTGTATGTGCTATACTTTTATAAGATTGGCTGTGCAGACCAGTGTCATCACAAACACGTGAGCAATGCGTTGTGATATCACATTTGGACAGCTATGATGTCATTGGTTATAGAAACTTTTCAGCTCTGCCATAATCATGTGAGAACACTGTGTATGTGTGGTCATCGTTATGTAGCACATGACTGTGGGACTAGGTTTGAATCCAACTCTGCCACCACCAGCTGTGGGACCTGGGGACCCTATGTTAATCTTTGGGTGTCAGTTTCCTCATCACTACAATGGGGGTAATCATCTTACTGGGAAGCCCTGAAGATTAAATAGGAAGCTGTACGTATAGGGCGTAGCACACTATTTGAAATGTGGAAATAAAAAACTAATTTATTGATCAATAAACTAATAAACCAATGGCTTTTCTTTTTCTCTTCCCATGCTCACCCAAGTCTGAACTCGCAGGTTGGAATGTATAGTCCTCATGTTCAGCATATCTACCTTAGCTTGGGAGCACTGGGTGGGGAAGGAGTAGACTCACAGCAGGAAGCTCAGGGATAGTGGAAAAACCCAGATCTCTCTGTGCTGAAGGCTGAGGAGAAGGAATCCATGTGCTGGCCTCATGTGCACTGCTCACTAACTGCAGCGAGGGAAAGGGTCAGCCCAGCGCCCAGGGCTGCTTGTGACTGAGCGCTCTGACCACAGCTGGCTCTGGGGCAGTGGGCAGCTGTGCTGGGCAGCAAAGGAGACACTGGGTTGTGCAGGTTTGGGCAGGGGGGTGCTGCTTAACAAGTCCACCAATGCATCAATCTCAAAGAATTCTTCCCCCTGAAAAAAAATCACTTCATTCTCTCATGAGGAATCTTCAGTTTATGAAAGGTCTGTGTTGTAAGCCATACGACATTTGACCAGTAGCTTGCTAAAGCAGATAAACAGTAATCTTTTTCTCATTTGCTCCCTAACAGAGATACCTAGAATGGGAGGATGCCTGGAGAATACCACGTTACAGGTGTCTCTGTTAATATCAGGTTATGAAATTCTAACAGGGTGATCCGTTTGAGCGGCCTCAGGGCCCTCGACTGACAGATGTAAATGTTGGATGAGATGATTTCTAAGGTTCCTCGCAGCTCCACAGCTCTGCATTGCTACGTCTCTATTCTGTTGTCCTCCAGTGTCAGCATGAATGATGTGCGTGCGTTCCGGAGCCGGGTTACAGGAGGCCAGATCTGGCTGTGATGCCTGGACTAACCCCCCCACAACAGGTCTCAGAAAGATGCAGTTTAGCAGGGGGTTGGGATGCGTGCTCATGAAAACAAATTGCCAAGGGAACATTCCAAATTGCAAGATATCATTAAGATGCTGCACTCTGCTTCCCGAAATCTTTGAGGATACAGCCTGTGCCATCCTCTCCTGAAAAACAGCAGCGGAGGCCATGCCTGTCAGGGGAGAGGCTCAGCGGACGTTTGCTGAATTGAGTTGGACAAGCCTCTTAACCTCCCTGAACTTCAGCCTCCTTCTCTCAAAATGGACAGGATATAAATCTACCTCCAGTCAATTGTGGTCCGTTTATACATTTCTGGAGACTAATATCAGTGCTAAGCCCCTGGCACCTTTCACCGCCAGGAAGATGCCCCTCAGAGTCAGGTCGGAGCAATGCCCAAGAACTCTCAAGCTCTACAGTCGATCTTTGAACAAGCCCACAGAAAACCCACGCAGGGGAGGGGAGCACGGGTGTATGCGGCTGTGAGGACGGAAACCCATCTCGGACCCAGGTAACTGGAGCAGTGCCTTCAAATTGTACCTCTCAGCTAATCCCCCTTTAGTGAGGCTTGAAATGATTATAGGATCGAATGGCTCTTCAGTTCCTGAAATCGTGATGCCGAGGGGCCCCCCGTAGCGCTTCAGCTCCACGGTGTAAATAATTGCCCCGGAACTTTCTTGCTCATCTGCAATAAATGGCAAGGAGTCATAATTGGTTTCTTTGAAAAAAAAAAAAAAAACAACAACAAAAAAGCAAAGTAATAAGACAAATATATTCAGACATAAAATAAGAAATTCAGAACATCGGCACCAGCACATTATGTCGCAGAAAATAATTATTTGGAGAAGCAGCATTTCCTTCGTAGGATATCACATTCTAACAGGGAACATCCTAATGACTTATGCTTTAAACCTGGAGAGAGCCACCAGGGGACCTGCAGGCCCTGCACTCGTGCCCATGCCTCGCACGGCGCTGTCCCAGCATTTTGTGTGTGCCATCGACACCAGCGGAAGGAACACACGGCTGAGGAGGCAATTAGGGAGGAGAGAGTCGTGCAGTGACAAAGAGATCAGGCCACGCAATTCCTATTTTCAGGCTTTACAGCCACTAACTTTCAACACAGAAAAGCCGATTTTACTCAGGATTGGAGCAAGCTTTAACTTACGTGCATGGTTAAGTGGGGCTTGGAGAGGTTGGTTGGCCTGGAAATCTAGAATCCCTTACACATCATCCCACCGACTGTGTCTTACAACGTACATCCCGTTGATGAACTCGTGGATATGAAAACAGGTTTGAATGATTACCTCTCCTCTGTTTTTGAATCAAAGGCCGTGTAGGTTATGTTTCGGTAGCATACACCCGGGTGTCACACTGTCATACATTTATTTTGGCTGTTTTACATTAGCACAAGGGAAGACTTCTGTGAACAGGTCTGCCTAAAGCTTCAGTCTGAAAGACGTCTTGGGGTGACTTCAGCACCAGTGGCTGTTTGACTGTGTCAGGCTTGCAAATACAAAACCTGTTTCGTATTTGCTGGTGGCAGGGTAAAGATTTTGAGCATTTCTTGTTTTATTCCTTGGGCCTCAGGGCGCTGTGCCTGGTTAAGGAGCTGTTTCATTTCTGTACCCAAGGACGCAATGAAATGGTCTGGAAGCGACTTTAACAAAACAGCCAGTTTTTACAGTCAGACTGTGTCATGGCGAAGCATTAACGCAGTCACACATCTACCTATCTGTCCGGATCTATCCATGGATAAGAAAATCAGGCAAAATGGAAACATTAAGTAAATATTTAATGATATTAAAATTTTTGCCAATATTTTAGACTGTGATATTTAATTATGTATCTTAGAAGTCTTACATTAGGGCGGGAGTATAGACCAGCAAGATTGATCATAGTTACCAACTGTTAATGCTAGGTGACGTATGATGGTTTATGACACCATTTTTCTCTATTTTTAAATATTTGAAGTTTATATAATAACATTTAAAATGTTATAAAATGTTATTTTATTAAATGATATTTAATACATTTGTAATAATAAATATTTAATTTAATAATATTTAATTTAAAGCAGTTTTTATATATATATATATATTTTATTGATTTTTTACAGAGAGGAAGGGAGAGAGATAGAGAGTTAGAAACATCGATGAGAGAGAAACATCGATCAGCTGCCTCCTGCACATCCACTGGGAATGTGCCCGCAACCCAGGTACACGCCCCTGACCGGGATCGAACCCGGGACCCTTCAGTCCGCAGGCCGACGCTCTATCCACTGAGCCAAACCGGCTTTGGCAATAATATTTAATTTAATAAAAACATTAATTCCCTCAGAAAACTCTGTGATGCCTTGAGTAAACTGACATTAATTAGTTTGGGTTGCTCATCTTCATATACTGTGGTCCATTTGCCCACCAGGCGAGGTCCCAGCGCATCCGGCTGCCACCTGCGCTAGAGGAGGCAGACATCTCAGCTCTGCCCCGGGTTTCATAACAGTGGTTTCTTCCACATGTTTTCCTGATAGGGATCCAGCCTCTGTCCCTCTCCCTCGCATTGATTTTCACCGGTGCTGTCAGCCTATAATTCCCTCTCCGTTCTTCCTGGAATATTTCAAAGGCATAAATCTGAATTCACTCTCTTACTTGACGCTTTTCATTGGTTCCCCAATTCCTTAAGAATAAAATACAACCCCTTTCTTTGCGCGAGCTGAGCTGGGGCCGCCATGTCTCCAGAGGACCACCCCCTCCCATTCCAGCCCAGTCTCCTACATTCTTCCTCACCGCAGTTTCTGTAAAAGCACTTCCCTGACGTCTTTGACCTTGCACATGCCACTCCCTGGGCACAAACGCCTTTCTCTCCTGAAGAACTCCTACTGGGGCCTCAGCACTGGGCGCAGATGTCTTGTCTTTCAGGAGGGCTTCCCGGCTCCCCCGCAGGAGCTCCAGGCCTTTCCTAGGAGAGCCCACACTCCTGTGCATTCTTCTAGTGCTTCTCACCTTTTAATTTTAATTCTTGCCTCTGCCCCGTGATGAGGAGAGAAATTAAATTAAAATTCTTCCTAACGAGAGAAATAGGAAGGGCTAAGATTCACTCAGGTAGGGCTGAGCTATGGAGAGCGACTCACCACTGTGATGTAACATCTCTGGTTCCTTACTCTCTGAGAACCAATTTTTGCCCCCACCCACCGAGAAGGCACGCTCTAGCCAGTCCTGTTCACTAGGTGTTTAATTATCTCTCTCCTTGTCTCTTCCATTAGAATAAGATCACCTTGAAAACAAGATTTCATCTTCGTATCCCCAGAGCCTAGATCTAGGGCCCCAAGGCTGCTGCAGTAGATGCCTGAACAGGTGAGTGAAGATGAATGAATGTTCACGTCCCCAGCTCCGAGGGAAGAGAGCTCTGGGAGCCACCCTCCCAGCTACTCCAAGGCCTACTTTCCTTTTCCAAAGTGATGTAAACCCAACCTGGCTCCTTCAAAGTGTGAGGGTCAGACCGGGGCTGCCTCTGTGGGAACCAGCAGACCAGGAGCACCCTCCCCTCACAGTCCCGAGAGTGGCTGCGCCAGCTCCAGGCTGCACGTCCAGGCCCATCTGCTGCCTAGGGCTGGAGCTCAACTGGCACGTGCACGGCTCTGCAGCTGAGGAGCTGGCAGGAATGCCCGTGATGCTCAGGCCATTTTGGAGGTGGAAGCCCTCCAAGTCACTCTCTCCTCCAGGCTGCTCCAGCGTAGAAAGCAGCAACTGGAGGGTTTAAGGAACAGAAACTTTCTGAAAAGGAAAAATGCAGGATCACCAGTAAGTTGCTACGGGAGCCTAACCAGATGTTAATGATATTATAAGCAGCTTTTACATCACAGCAGAAGGCTTACAACTATTAGTGAAAGACATGACAGGGGGCCAGCCTCCTTGTTTGTTCTGCTTGGCTCTAGTTAAGAAAATGAATGGGACCACGGAACAGATGCGGAATTGCAGCATTAATTATCAGCAACGTTGTTTTTGGGCTTCTCGAGTGCCTCCTGTTTAACAGAATGAGCGCTCTCTGGCGTGAATCCATAACGGCAGCTGCTCCTGTGGCCGAATAGGAGGCTTGGATTTGGGAGAGAGCCTTCGGAATGCCTAACTGTACAGGTCAATCAGAGTTCATTTTAAACTAAAAGTGATGGGATGCATTTCAGAGTATGGCCACCTTTCTTGGAGGGGGGCAGCCTGAGTAAATGAACCATTTAGAACAGCTTCCTTACTGTCGTGTGGTCTCTGCAGACCCCTAGAAATGATTGGAGACAGATTTGGAAGCCTCCATTTACCTCTTCCTACAGTTCCTCCAAATTCTCTACTGTTTTGCTTCAAGGTTCCTTCTCAGATCACCAAACTCTCCCATCTGCGTTTATAGTGAATCTAGATGCAACCAAGGCAAAGCAATAGATTTTATTTCAAGAGGGTTACTTGCATCTTTGGGGACCTGGGGGTTGGGTAACAGCCATTGTTTTGGAGCCTGGGACCCAGGCAGGAACGGTTTGGCTCTACTTAATTTATGTTTCTGTGGTAATGAAAGAAAACAAGTGCAAAGGCTCCTGAAGGCAGAATGGTCTTGAATATAGAGGGAGGGAAATGCCTATAATCAAGTGTTCCAAAGATCGGGCCATTGTAAAATGAAGCTAAAATTAGCTTTAGTAACACCCTAATAATGACTGTTGATCATTAGCATTCACTGGGCCTTATTAAGTGCCAAACATTATTGCTGAGCACTTCAATTTATTACCTCCTTTGATCCTAAGACAGCCAGGCGAAGTAGGCAGTAAATGGACATTTACAGATGAGGAAACTGATGCTCAGAGAAGTTAATTTCCCGTTTCCCAGTGTGTCAGTTGGGAAGCCAATCTAGTGTGTGTGTTTTTTTGTTTTAAATTTTATTGATTTTTTACAGAGAGGAAGGGAGAGGGATAGAGAGTTAGAAACATCGATGAGAGAGAAGCATCGATTAGCTGCCTCCTGCACACCCCCTACTGGGGATGTGCCTGCAACCAAGGTACATGCCCTTGACCGGAATCGAATCTGGGACCCTCCAGTCCCCAGGCAGACGCTCTATCCAGTGAGCCAAACCAGCTAGGGCCAATCTAGTGTTCTTATTCATTTTCTTCTTCAGCTTCTCCCAGAAAGGACTAGAAACAGTTAATTTAGACGCTCTCAAATGTCTCATTCAATATTCTAGTAAAAGATTGCAACTGGTGGTCACTGACCAAACACTATGGCCTCACTCTCCTGCGATAAGCCCTCCCCACTGGCTTCTGGGGTAAGTTCAAATGTCTTAACATGGTTTAGAAGGACCATGATGATTGGCTTCAGGAGAGCTTTCTCCTCTCCTACTGCCGAGTCCTTACGCATCGTTTTTGCTTCAGCCACGTCTGGTACTAAGATGTGCCATGTTCTCTGGCCTCCTGCTTGGTTCATACTCTTCCTCTGGTTGATTCTAACAATACCTCCCAGACAATGTCAAGACAGAGATTGTTCGAAGCATTCCTTGAGCTCTCCAGGCATCAGGGCTAACATTTTCTGCACACCCTTAGAACATGCATCATGTTGTTAATTATTGATTTTCTTCTGTTTCTCTTATAAGGCGGTGACTGATGTAAGGGCAGGCAGGGACTGTGTCCTTTTTAATCTAATTGGCAGTCCCTGGCACAGTAGATTCCACCTCATAGACACTAAATAAATTGCGTGACTGAATGAAAAACAAAGACTTAATGCTTGAGAATAGTTCTGCCATCTCCCTGGGTAAGGTGCAAGGCAGAGCAATGAAACCAGTGAAGCTGGAAAATATGCTCAATAAGCATATCCTAATTATCATCATGTTAGGTATAGAGATTATAGCGGGAAAGGTCTAAAGGGGGAAAATGAGCTGAAGGAAAGCAACGATTCATGTTTCTGAAACTCCTCCCAATGTGCCTGCTCAGCCTGGCTTTGGAACTGGGGCATCGCCAACCGGGAGCTCCAAATACTGACCAAATACTCTCCTGTATATTCCTCTGTCTGGGCTTTTTTCGCTCTGCAAGGAAGGTAGCTGAGACCTGCTTCGCTTGGCAAATCGTGCAAAGTAGGGTTCTCCACGGGGCTTTGACTCTTCTCTAGGACAGAACCGAGTGCTGCTGGAGGCTTTATCCCTCCAAAAGGAAAGTGCAATCGAAGCATGCTTGTAAGGAGAGGAATGCAAATGTTGGCACAAAAATTCAGTTGCTTGGGAAATAACAAGTAGAAACCTATGCATATTTTAAAATGTTGGTTATATATTTGGACAGAATCATCCTTACCAGCTGTGCAAATTGGCTGTAACTACCAATTTGTTTTGACTTTGAGTAGGAATCGGCAACACATTGACTGACATAACCATGAACTCTAGGTCTATGGTTTCATTACAGGTGACTCCAGAACTGGCATAATAACTCATTATTGGTTTGGATGGAATTAGAAACAGTAGAAGCTCTCTTAACCAAGCTCCAATCACCCAATTGACTAGACTACTTGTGGCTCCGCATTCTCCACGAGGTTCCTGACGGATGCCATGGACTGCTGCGGATTAGTGGGTCTCCCTCTCTAGTGCCCCAGGTACTTCTGCTCCTGCTACCTCTTGAGTTGTAAGTTTGAAATTTTAGAGTCAATTACATTTATCCCCAAGCCTGTTTTATCCCAGTTTTACTTGTTATTGTAACTATGTAATTTAATGAATCTTACATAATGTATAAAATATGAGTATAGTGGTTCTATGAAAATAAAATCAAATGCTTTGGAAAGATTCTATAAAAGGGGCTCATTAAGCAAACATAAACATATACTATTAATTATATAGAGGAAAAACTCAAAAACATTTGGGAAAATAAAAATCTAGATGGAGCAAGCATTCTGATTGCGTTGAATTTTTAAAATTCTCACCATATTAAAACAAATGAACAAAAAAAATCTAAAAGTGGAAATCATAAATTGATTATCATGGGTATAGTTTGGGCAAACAAACAAGCAACAAGACATGTAACTATAATCTGCAGAATATTCTTAGGAAAGGCCTTGACTTCACTGGTAAGACTGGCAAAATTTTAAATTAAACATTTACATTATGGATATACTAGAGGCCCGGTGCACAAATTCGTGCATGGGTGGGGTCCCTTGGCCTGGTCAGCCATCAGGGCTGACTGGGGTGGCGGGAGGGTGACGGGGGAAAGACCACGGGAGGTTGGCCAGCAGGGGAGATGGGGAGGGGCTGCTGGAGATTGGCTGTCTGGCCCCGATCAGGGCCAACCGGGACCAGACGGGGGGG